AAGATCTGCAATGCAGCTCCTCGAGGATTCGCTCCTCATGTGCCCACCACCTACCAAATATAAATTGATCTTAACATCTATGTAGCCAAAGCCGTAGGTGCAATTGAGAAGGATTTTATGTTACAATAATACCATATTAGTGATATAATGAATTAATGACAACTTGACATGTTAATTCAAGTATGTCAATTCCTATTAGTTGATTAAATAAGCAATGGATCCATTTTGTTATTATTTTGTTTATAAAAATATAAAAATCAAGACATCATAGTGCTCAGAATGTTCATTACAACCGTCACTGAGTGGATCTTATTTTTGGAACGCACTCAACGAATAACTGTAATAAATGCCTTAAGTGCTAAGATGTCCTAATTTTTAAGGCTCTCTTTTGTTTATGTGCAAAAAATTCTTAGTTTGTTAGTGCATAAGGATAAATAAAGGCCTTTTGAAAAAAAAAAATCCAAAATGTTTTTTCCAATAATTATCTAAGTAAACATTGTTATTTAAATTCAAAAGTATGTAATTAAAAATTATATATATAACATCATATGATGCATACCCTTTACGTGATATTAAATAAACACATATATATGTATTGAATCAGATGGATTATTAAGGATATCAATATAAAAGGAATTATATATTAGCTTCATCTTAAGTATTAATTTTAAGTTAATTAGTTATAGATAAAAGATATTTATTTATTAAAAAAAAAAAAAAAAAGAAGCTTACATTTTCTACATGAATCACTAAGTGAAAAAAGGTCAACTACAAATTTACAGTCCTTTAGTATGTTTTCGGCCAAACAACAATTATTCGATCATATATCAAAATATGAATTTTTTAACTAAAAAAAGGGGGAGGGGGAGGGTAGGGGGGATGGACTTTGGAGAGAAGAAAATGGTTAGGCCCGGCCTCCTCCTTTGCGAACATGTTATGTTCCAATGAGACCAATTTGCTTACGGACTCTCCTAGTTGACCGGACTTCGTTCTTGGAACAAAATCGGTTCTGAGTTTCAGTGACTGTCAAAGTCAACGTTACCAAACTCATTGATTGGTCCGACAGTTTTTCTTTTATTTCGTCTGTCT